AGAGAGAGAGAGAGAGAGAGAGAGAGAGAGAGAGAGAGAGAGAGAGAGAGAGAGAGAGAGAGAGAGAGGCAGTCGTCGCACCACTCTCAAAATGTGAAAACGACAAAAATGGGGTGGGTTCATGTGCCCATGTTCTAGTGGGAAGTTCATTCTCATTTTTGCACATTACGAGAGTGGTGGGTGCCCAGTGTCTGACGCCGAGTTTGGCGCACCAAACTTGGCATCAGAATCTCTCTGACGCCCTCCCTCTCTCTCAATCATCGTTCCAATGAGAACGAATCATAGTTGCATCGCACCTCGGTGTGCGGATTTGCGCACGAATTGCACACCACGCGCAGCGCACCTCACAGCGCAACACACGCAGCGCACCAAAGCGCAGCGCACTTGAAAAATTAGGTCCAAAAAAAAAAAAAAAAGTAGGGGTTTCATAATTTCTTAGGGCCCCCAACTCGGCAAAAATGGCGCAAGCTCGCAAACCAGCCGCGCCCACGGCCCGAACTTTTTCTTTTGGGTAAGGGCTGCCGAAATTTCGATTTCCGCAGGCCCTTCCCCCAAAAGTTTCAGAATAGCGAGGCACAAAATAGGGCTCATTCCAACTTTTGTTTTAGGCGGGGTATGAAAGCTGTCCTTCCCGCTGCCTTCTGCAAATCCCACACAGTAGTGAGGTAAGTTTGCAAGAAGGGGTAGTCGCCTAATAACGACCTGGCCCGCGAAATTTCGCAGAATTCATAAATTCAGCCGACCACCAATATATGCTGAAGATTGGCGTTCAGGTCCGCATGTCGGCAGTTATGGGTCAGGATGAAGATGCCCGTGGCTCTCTCATTTTTTTGTTTTTGTTTTCTTACAAATACTTCAAGTGGGGATGCACAAAAGACATAGCATATGGTGGTGTATGGTTCCATGTTTTCGCAGAAGATTCATTCTACTAACATTATATACATTTGGTGAGTGGTGGAGGGAGGCCCTGAGAATCACGTGTAGACACAAACAGGGTCTACCTGAATTGGTGACCCATAACTGCCGAGCTACAGCCCTGAACTCGAATCCACATCATATATTGGTCTGCCCACATCTCTCCCACACGTGACGAGGCCATCCTTCTCATTGAAGCTGGCCCTCAATGGCTCCACATGAATTGTAGGAGCCATTCGAGGTACCTGCAGGGGGGCTCAAATTGACGTGATGGGGACCTTTTGTTGTCTCTCTCTCTCTCTCTTGGGGCCTTTCTTTCCTTTTTTTTTTTTTTTTTTTTTTTTAATCGCGCACAGGGCGCAACTCCCTCAGCGCGCGCCCCGCGCACAGCGGACCGCACTGGGTACTGCGCACAGCGCATGGCGCCTGTCTCTTATACACATCTAGATGTGTATAAGAGACAGCGCCAATAAAGTCCGAGGCTCAGCAAGGATCGGGCTACCGGTCACCCGAGCCTCGGACTTGATAGCTGGGCGAGGTACTAGTGGTTTAAACAAAT